GATTTGGAACTTTGGGTAAACAATATAACTTTTGAATTTTTCTTTTTAAGAATGGGAAGAATAACTCCTGATAAAATAAGCTATATCATTTAATTTCATGGCAACCTAAAGTAGACATGCATTTAAAACAACTAAGCACATAAAAATTAGTAATTATTATTAAATATTAGAGTGATTATTGCTTACAAGAACAAATCCACATAGAATCCTTAGAAGAAAAAGAATATTCCCAGGATTTAGAAAATATATATATTCCTTTTCAGTGCAATGTTCCCCATTAGAGTATATTGCATTTTTAAATATTTCTGTTTTAGAAACAACATATTCCAAAAGTAAATTACTATATTTTACTTCCAAAAATACTTGAATTCATAATAAGAAAACAATTCAATTAAACTATAGGCAAAAGACCTTAACACACAATTCACCAAAGATGATATACAGATGGCAAATGAGTATATTATTAATAAAAGATGCTCAAAATCACATGCCATTAGGAAATTGAAAATTAAAAGAACAATGAGATATCACTACACACCTATGATAATGGCCAAATCCAAAAAAGTAACACCAAATGCTGATGACGATGTGGATCAAAAGGAACTCTCATTCATTGCTGGTGTGCATGCAAAATAGAACAACCACTTTGGAAAACAGTTTTCTGTTTCTTACAAAAGTGCACATGCTCTAATCATATGATTCAACGATTGTGCTCCTTGGTATTTACCCAAATGAGTTGGAAACATATGTCCACACGAAAACCTGCAAAGGAATGTTTGTAGCAGTTTTATTCGTAATTGCCAAAACTTAGAAGCAATCAAGATGTCCTTCAGTGGGTGAATGGATAAATAAATGATGGTACATCCAGATAATGCAGTATCATTCAGCACTAAAAAGAAATGATCTATTAAGCCATGAAAAGACATGGAGGAACCTTAAATGCATATTACTAAGCGCAATAAATCAGTTTGAAAAGACTGCACACCATGTGATTCCAAAACTATGACATTCTGGAAAAGGCAAAACTATGAAGATAGTAAAAAGATCATTGATTGTCAGAGATTAGGGTGGTGGAAAGAATGAAAAGGCAGAGCACAGAGGATTTTTAGGGCAGTAAAATTATTCTATACGATACCATAATGGTGGGATACATGTCATTATATATGTGTCAAAACTCATAATGTACAACAACAATAGTGGACACTAATGTAAACTATGGACTCTGGGTGATAATGACGCGTCAATGTTAATTCATCTATTGTAACAAATGTACCACTTTGATGTGGGATTCTGATAGTGGGGGAGACTAGGCCTACAGGAGGGAAGGAGGTATACGAGAAATCTCTGTAATTCCCACTCAATTTTGCTGGAAAACAAACTGCTCTAAAAAAGCCTGTTTTCTTAAAGTACCTGATTTTAGAATATACAAGTTTTTATTTGCTAAAAACACAGAAGCATACTTAAGCTATAAAAATCAAAATCGAGCTGTAACACAAGGTACTTAGTTTGGAGTTTTTTAGGGTAGTTTTTAAAATAACACTATATTTAGAATCCTAAACAAATTTGATGTTTAATTTATTCATTGCAATGTTCAGTGTTATGACAAACAAATCCTTAAATGGATTTTGGAGACCATAGTTTCATTTGAATGGATATAATTGGTTCAATGTGTTCTTTGGATTAGTTCAATTCCAAAATTCCACAATAGCGACCTTAAAGAAGTTAAACTTCAGATATTGTCAACATCATTATTTGTTTAAATCAATTCCTGAAAAGCACAGATCTTAAAGTTAAGCCAACCAGATCACTTAAGAGTTTTTTAATTAAATGCCAAAAACTTGGAAAGTTGGAGAAACTTAGGCACACTCAATACCAGGAAGAAATCTATTTGAATGGTGTATTTGTTGGGGCATTTTTCAATTTCAAATGACAAAAATCCCAACTCAAACTAGCCTAAAGAAAACAACAAGGGAGGCTATAAAATTAGTGGGAAGAATACAGATCATTCCAGATGCTGGATCAGGTCTCCCTCTTCCTCCTTTCTTGTGTCCCCATCTTATTGCTTTCTTTCTTACTCTCTCTCTCCTCCTTTCTTCTTTTCCTCTCCCCGTCTTTGTTTATCAGTGTGTTTTTACCTTGTTTTTTCCTATTGAGGATTTGATCCTTGCAAATAATGGGAGAGAACCATGGACTGCAATTGATTCCAGACTCACAAACCCTGGGTTAGAAGAGGAAGAAGAGAATGTTTATTTCCCAGAGCCTCTATGCAAAATCCTAAAGAAGCTCCCTCATTGATCCAGCTCACATCATGTGCTCATCTCTAGCCCAGAATCAGTTTGCAATCCATCATAACCTCTTCTGGCACAGAAAGGAGAATTTTCCCAAATGAAGAGAGCAGAGATGGAGGGGAAAAAAATGGGAGAAAGGAAAATTGAGTGGAAGGCACAGTTTGACTAATATATTTAAATGGTTAATTTGAATAATATATTTATTAGAAAAAAACTGCTGCTTTTAAAACAAAAGTCCCAAGGGTAAAATTATATTTTTATTAGGAAATCTAGAAAGAAGGGTATTTTTAGGATAATCTGGAATCTGATGATGGAGAGGTAGATTTGCTAATTAGATAACACTGAATACATCAGGAAATACTTTCTTGAAAACTAAATATTACTGAAATTGTTCTTTATTATTAGTCATACTCCTCTGCCAAGATAAGGTTCATTCTGTACTGACCTGTTTATATTTTTTTTAAAAAAAGACTGATTATAGCTTCATTTTGAGTCTCTAGAGCTTTGACTATCTGATTTTTATGATAAATTATCATGGGTTGGATTTCAGTGTATTAACAGTAAATTATATTTAAAATGTTCTTCATTTAAATAAAACAAAATGCTTTTTAAAAAACTTAAAGTGAAATATTAAATAACATCCACTCCAGAGACAATTTGAACTTTTAAATATTTTTTCCCACAATTGGATGTCTTGGAGGATGTGTGTGAGTTTGCTCACATTAATCAACATTCTTTGTCCTGTGTTGACAATTCAAAATTCAACACTGTGGTAAATATTTAAATTTTAACAAAACCCTCAACTTTTTAGAGTGTCCATTTTCAAATTGTTTTTCCTGGAGTCTTTTCTTTCATAGAAATCTTGACTGCAATGGGCTCTTTCTGATTGTGTCCCGCCCAAGAGAAATTGTAAGGTAAATTAGATCTAAATTCAGTGATTTCCCAAAGATTTGAAAACCAGTACTCTTCCTCATTGTCTCTCAAATCCTAGTTCATAAGCCAGGAAAGCAAACCCATAACCCTTGTTCTCAGTTCTAGGTTTCCTCTCCTATCCAGGAAAAGGGTAAACTCAGGGGCTATGTGGTATCTCAGGCTCTGACTTTGCCACCTCTAGTCCAGCTCACAAATGCCCACCTATCCCTTTATCTTGATCCTGACATTCCTGCAATGCATTAACTATTGACTTATTTACACTGTAATTTGGTTTGGTAAAGAGTTTTGTTGTATAGGGAAAAAGGAGACTTCAGAAAGCTAATGCTCCTGTTGTGCAGAGTGCTTTATAGAGTTTTTACTTACAATGGAATAAGAAGTAATACCGACTGCAAACAACTAGGCCACATGTACAGAAAAACTGACTTGACACATCTTGGCCATTCATAAACTGAATTGAATTCCACAACTCTTGAATCTGTGATTATAAATCAAATCTGAAGCAGATTTTTCTGGAAGGATTTTTTTTTTTCTGTAATTCCTTGACTTTGACCTGATTCCTCTAGGCCTCCAGAGATTTAATTCATTTCTGGACACCTTATTGCCACTGCTAAACTCATTCTGTGCCCATCTATCCCTGTTGAACATCTTTGGTTACCTGGATGCAATTCCTAGATTCTAGCCTGTGTCTGCATTTCTACATTTTGACTTGTTCTCCCTTTTAACCTGATTTCAACCTAAAGATGTTCCTTGTATCTGTGTTTATCTACTTTTATTCACCATATCGAGGCTTCTGGCTTTTATTCCCAGATATATCCCTGTTCTGGTGGCCTCTTACTGAAAATATAATATTAAAATATGTTGAATATACAACTAATGACAATAGGAAAAACATAGGCAAGGAAAGCATCCTTCAACTAAACATTCTTTGTAGAGACTCTACAAACATTATAAACATAGCTAGACAATCAAGAGTTGGTTCTATAAAGGAGTTGATTAATTCTACTTAATTATTCAGTTTATTGATTAAGACATTTTCATTTCTTTGTTTTTTTCTAGCATTTACACTTTTACCGTTTCACTAAATGAAACATTAACATTTCTTAAATGAATGTTCAACATGAGATTTAGAATTTGTGGATTTCAGTGATTTGTGCACTATTGTCAATCAAAAGCCAATATCCCTTGAAGAAATATTTAAAATGTAGATAATTCCAAAGTATTTAAATATTTTGCCATTCTAAAACTAAGACTTTCAAGGGTATAGTGAGGAAAAAAATAATTGTCAATTTTTTTCAAGTGTACTGGGGGTTCAATTAATTGATGCCAGTAAGCTAAAATATTTCTTCAAACTGATATAGCTTTCTTTTAGATAATTTGCACATTACATTATCCAGTCACTCAACATTATCCATTACATGTGTTATTGTTTCTGGGTGTTATTATATAAAATACCTGCTTCAGTGACTATTTAAAATTCAGTGGAAAAATAATCCAAAAAGAAATTCATCCTTTCTCATTATAGCATTTCACTGCACTGATAGAAATATACAGCATTGCAATAAAAATGAGGATATCATTTATACTTATGTTTAATCTTATATCTTAAATCTATTCTTGTATCTTGAATCAGTTCTTTCTTATAGTTAAAGCTATTTGAGTATGGCTGCTTTGTGAAGCAGGATTTTTTTTTCCAGGCTTCCTTTTTCAGTTGCTTTCCAAAGGTGCAAAAATAATCCTGTCACAACAGAGAAGAAGAGCTTATAAAGATGCTTTAAAAACCTTATCACCAGGAAACAGTGCACAGTGTATTGTATAATATAGTGTCTTAAAATACTTCTGCTTACCTCCTCATTGATGCTGCTACAATATTTACATAACACTGCTAACTAATTCTTCATTATGTAGGTTATTTATCCTTTTTGTTGAAGACTGTCTTCCCAGCACATTTAATATTATCGAATTGAGGCATTGTTTTTATTTCTACCTCCTGCTTAGCTGCAGTGACTCTCTTCTGAGTTCTGGGGCTGCACTGGTGGGTCAGGATTCATGTTTACTGCTCCCTGGGGTCAGAAGTGATGAGTAGGAGGAGATCTGTGGCAGGACAAGAGTCCTGGCTAGCCATCAAGGCAAGTTGTTGATTTCTTCAGGATGGGTTATTTCAGAGCCAGAAAAAAATTAAAAAAGGAAAAAATAAAGGAGCTGTTTTAGCTTAGAGGAATAGTTGTCCTGGGAGCAAAAAAGTAAAAGTGGAAACTAATATTTTAGAAAATACTTCAGTAGAAAGACATTTTTAGTGCATGATATCTCAGAGGCTAGGGAAAAATTATTTGAAGCATTAAATATTTTCAAGACTTTCTGTGCTGAATACATTTTTCAACCCTAGGCTAGATGTTTTTGTTAACATTTCTTGTTGAAGAGTTGATTCAAATCAGAAAAAAAAAAAATCATATTTCTGTGTGATTGAGGAGCACTCCAAGGCAAATGGGCATGTAGCACACTTTACTTAGTTCAACCTGAAGGTCAATCCAGATGGACAGGGTCTTTAAGTTTCTTCTTTAACACTTCAACACTCTGTTAAGCCTGGTTTCCCATTTATCTTCTTGCATGTGTCTATAGCACAGAGCCTCAGGCAGAGATCACCTCACTTCCAAAAAGCTGTTGGCCCCAATCCGCAAATAAGTCACCTCATCAAACAGCAACCAACAATGTCTCAGCTCATACTCACACCCTAGTCTCCTGGAACTTAAACACACTGCTCAAATACATTCCTGTTCCAGCAACTAGGGAAATGAAACCTAGAGGTCACTTCCAAGCTAGATTATTCCATGTGATTTCTACTAATTCCCCCAAGAAACCCAAAGGTAGACTTTTATAGTTATAGAGTTGCTGAACAGCCTTAGATTTGCTAGAAAGAAAAAAAAAATCCCAGTTAACAGTTTTTTGGCTCTTTTTTTTTTTTCTGTTTTTTGTTTTCTCTCAGCTGAAACAGAAAGCATGTAAAATTTTAGAGGTTCTATAAACCTGTAGATTTTTCTTTATGTACTAAACCTGGCTGTGTATATATAATAAAGTAGCCATACACCTTTTTTCTCACCAAGTAAAATAATAAAACCAGGATCATTCTGTCAAATAAATGCAGTAATTCTTCCAAAACTAAACTCATACTGTCATTGAATGAGTAAATTAGATCTCTTAATGTATCTAAATAGGTACATATTAGAGTTATGTGATAAGTAAAGCTTTGAGTATATCTTGTTAAAGTATAAAACCTCTCCTGTTTCTTATAGAAATAATAAAGAAATATTTACTGACTAGTAAAAGATCGACACCAAACTATGGGCTTTTCGAAGCTGACTCTCCATGACACTATGAGTTAGATTTTATCATCCCCTTATACTGAGGAGAAAAACAGCCTCACAGAAAACAGGTGACTTCCCAAGGTCACTCAACTCATAAATGAGCTTGGATTCAGTTCTAACTCCAGCCCCGGTGTTATTTCCACTACTTGATTCTGCAACTCTTCATTTGAAAATTTAATCATAAAGAATACTACATCATTAATCTACAAACATGTTTTCTTTCTACCCTGTAAACTCTGCTGAGTACAAAATGCTGTCCCCTGTTAAATTGCATAACCTTGAGCAGGGATAGGGTAATGTTTGATCTATTGAAAAAGATCTGATTAAAAACCTAAATCAAAACATAGGACTAAGAATCTGAAAATCAAAAGTTCATTGCCAAGCTCATGGAAAGATCTGCTTTCAGCAAGAATGTTTTTAGATGATTTATAATGGGTATTTTTCAAATTACTTATTACAACAAAAATACTTGATTATACTTAGTAACTGTATATAAGCATATTTTAAACCACTTTGAGAGGATGAACATGATTTAAAACTCTTTATACTAATTTCTGCCTGATGTAGAGGACTTATAACAGATGCATTAAGGACATTTAATGAACTTCACAAGGATAAAACTTAGTGAACTTTCTTTAATGCTGAGTTTTAACTCTCATACAACACTAGTTTTAAAGTATATTAATGAGATTTTTAAAAAATCTAAGTAGGTTTAATATGTTTGGTATTTTATATTTTGTCTGTTCATAATGCAGAAGAATATTTTATCTCTCATGAAATTTGGGTTAACTGTAAATCAGAAGTCATTTTTCTGATCCTGAAAATAGCAGTACATACTATACTACTAAGTGTGTTTAGTAAATATTAAATAATAATATTGACTTAGTTCCACAGTTCACATGTAATATATTAGTTGATCTTCTGGACCAAAGAATGGTATTTATTCCATAAGTGCTGTTGGACAATGGCATATAACAGAATGACTACTATTCTATTAAAAATGATATTAATGACAGCTAATATTTCAGAGATGCAGCCATTTTATGTAGAATGTATTCATCTCTGGAGCTTTATATTTTTATGTGATTTAAATTATAATATAAAGAAATTTTATTCTTTCTTTCTGTGTCCAGTGGCATTTGTTGTAATTTTTCTTTGTTAAGCAACTTTCCATTGTTTACCAAAAAAGACAAAGGTAGGATAAACAAAAGAGGGGATGGCAAATTACCTATACGTTTTTCTTAAACATAGGGTTAATCATTTTCTGTACCTATCAATTGCTTTAATCTGTAGGTAGATGATTTCATCATTTCTCATTCTTATAACTTACTTCTTGGCTACCTGAGCTGAACCAAGTTTCAGTCCTCCTTAACTTGTGGTTTTTCACATATTTTTAGGTTAAAAATCTACTTTAGCATTTTTCTATGCTAGTAATTTTGTTCAGATAGAGCCTATACCCCCCTCCATAATCCCCAAAATAGCTTTTGTGGGTATGAAGTGCTTCATGCATCTTAATATTCTTACTAATGAGCTCATTTGATCCTCCAAGTCCAGAAAAATATTTGGAAAGTTTATGTGACTTACACAAGTGCCATTTACTTAATCACAGTCCTTACTATAGGGTTCTGCATCTTCCAGAGGGAAGAGGAACCCTGATGGAGACATATATAGCGATATGTAGACAAAAATAATAAGTAGACTAAAATCTTGGGAACTGTGGGAAAGACAAAAAAAGGAACAAATATGCAAAGAGTTTGGAATTAAGAAACATCCCTAAGCCTGACTGCTGACTTCCAGGAAATAAATTCCTGCAGTGGTTTGAAGTGTGCCCTATTCTCACAGACAAATTGGTGTCTAAATTTTCTGACCCTTGACTTCTTACTTGTATAATGCAAATAATAGTTAATGTACCTAAATTCTCTGCAGTGTGCCTCCATTTTTCTTAGTTTCCCTGACACTCCTGAGCAGTATGGAATTCTACATAGTTTGTCGATTTCATTACTCTCATATAAATAAAGTCTCTATACCATTTAAAACTTCCTAATTCTATTACATTGGATAATGAACCAAATCCAGTTCTACTTTATGACTATAACCAACTATGCATTATTGGAAAAAATATGTAAAAAACACAAAACTCTGTTTAATTTTGAAAATAAAAGCAAAAGGAATCTGAGGTTATTTCCATAGAGAATATGATTTTTTTCTTCATTCAAAAGTAGGAATTAGGAAAACTGAGGATGAAGAGAGACATCCAATAATAAACTAGCTTTTTATATTGAAATTACAGATTTTGATGACAAAGATCTTTCTCTCTTCCTTTACCCCTATTTTCCATAAGAATCCAGAAACACAGAATTGAACTGATCATAATTCACATTTCACAGCCACTATCATCACTGGGCCATGAAAGGGACAAAAGGTAGTTGAATTCATCTATAAAAAAGAAAATGTACAAGAAAGAGAAGAAAAGAGAGTAACTAAGAACAAATATTTAAGAGTGGCTAAGTATAAAAATGACTTTGAAAAGACCAATAACCAGAAGGCAATGAGGCTTACCAAAAGTGCTAAACACTAGGAAAATAGGGTTTTGAATTTATGTTCACAGAAAATAACATGTTGCTTCAGAACAACATTTTCATAACACATAGCAAAGAAAAATCCTTACTACTCAACTATTATTTTATTTTCATCTTCTCTGTCAAGGATAGCAAAAATAATGTTAGTAGAAGGAAATTGAAGTCCAAGAAACATGAGAATGTAAGAAAGCAATTCTTTCCCTAAATGACTTTTTTTTGTTCCATATGAATTATACTCTAGTTACCAAAGAAAGTTTCAAATAAAATTTCTTACCACTGAACTATTTCTCGAGGAGTTGTGAATATTCAGAAAGATAACCAAAATACTGGGGAAGAGAAAAAAATGTTGTTATAATTTCTTTCCAAATTAAAAGTCAAAGTATTCTATAATATTCTGGGAAGCTAGAAATTATATTTATAAAAAGTTTTAGAATTTATTACTAAAATATAGTTTATGAACAATTGAAAATAAATGATCAGAAGGAATTAACATGGGTTCACTGAACACAAATAATGCATGTCTTATGTTATTCCTTTTTTGGCAGACTTTGCCCATTTTTGTACCAGGTAATTTCTAGACACATATCTCAATTTAGGCAAATCATTGGGTACACTCTTGGGTGATATATTCACGGACAAGGAAAAAATGATTAAATTCTACTATAATTTGCAAGTGATTTGAATGTTCACACTCAAAATATGCTCTGTATAACACTCTGAAAGGATTTCTAGTGGAACAAGATTTTGTCCTGGGTCTGTTATGATCAAATTTATCTAAGAGAAGGATAGTCTAAGAGTTGATTGGCCAGAGAAAAACGGAGCATGGCTGGCACCCATGAGGGTGTAGCCCAAACACCAAGGATAGGACACCAGCTGTTGCACTGAAATCCATCTGCCTGCTTGTGCTGAGGCCACACCTCTCAATGGCTGCCCAGAATCAGTGACAGAGCCTGGCAGAGAGATAGAGGTAGGCCCATTCCTGGGAGATGCAGGACTCCTCTGACAAGTGACTGACTCACAGGCTCCTTGAAGGCTTTGCTGAAACTTCCTTCTAATGCTGTCCAGGGAGAGTTAAATCTCCAATCAGATCTGAGTTAAAATGTACTTAGTTTGCCACCTAGGCAAACTATACATGAGGACTCCTGGATTCCAGGTCTTACTAGCTGCAAAGAAAATCAGGGCTGGAGCTCCAGATTCTGGGTTTGAGAGTCTGATGGAATCCCAGCATCTGCTCAATGGCAAATGAAGATAATAATATAAGTCCAACTTCTGTAGAATTGAAAGGTATCAGTAGATCCAAACAAGAAAGACAAAACTAGAGAAATGATGGAGATTTCAACATGTATGAAGTAATGTTAATCTAAAAGTAGTTTATATTTCTCCAGAGGACAACAGTTTATAGGTAAAAGAGAAAAAATACAACATAGTTAAGCACTTTCATGAAAACACAGGCACACGCACACACACGCACACCCTATTGAATTAAGGAAACAAATCACCCTTTCTTTGTTTAGGAATCTCCTCAAGTTTCCCTTCCATTTCTTTCCTGCTCTGGGTTTAGAGGAGGATGGCTCCCTCTATCACAGGTTGCCCTTCCTAATGTGGACCTCTTTGGCTCACCAACTGGGCTATCGAGCTCTTTCTCTTCTTATTTTGTAAATCAACTTGGTGAAGTTTGATTTCCCACTAATTATATATTTAGGAGAGACTAAAAGGTGCTTTATTTTCTCATTCACAGTTATCCCTAGTAAGCCTGACTCGCCAGCTCTCCAGATATATATGGATAGTCCTGAATGTAATTTAGGCTCTCAGGCTGGGAGCCAGAAAACATAAAGAGATATTCAAAGAACTGCTCAGCAAGCCTTTGAGATGTTGGACTGGAACTCAGGAAAAACTATGTTTGTGGATGTAGATTTAAGAATTATCTACATTAAAATAATAACTGAAGAATCAGATGATATGCATTTAATGAAGGAGGAAGTATAGAAAGAACTAACAAAGGACCAAGACTGAAGCTTAGAAAATACCTACATGGCTTGGGTCCGGGGACCTATCTGGGCCTTTATACAGCTCAGCTGTTAGATCTTTCCATAGGTCTCTCTTCGCTCACCATGGTCTCCATTATCTTCTCATTTTGCAGCAGCTCTCACAGACTCAGCCTTCTCCACTTGGTAGTTTCCACCAGCGCTCCAGCTCCTGGGGTTCCGGTCTCATTTTCTTTGCTTCTTTGGAAAATAAGTATATAGGCTCTTTATGTTTTCTTCTCAGGTAAACTGCAAACACACAGAAGTATACACAACTGAACACATGCAGGAATGCACACCTGAGGAACATCAAAAAGTAAAACAAGAAACTCTAATCATTAAATATAGTTTTTAAATCTCTAATTCAACAGATAGGGTAAATGGATGCCTGGTTATCTTCATTTAGCCCTATGCCTTCATTTATCCTGAAGATAAGAGCCTATTATACCTTCCTTCCTGCCTAATCCATTTTCTTCACTTTTCTTTAGGAGACACTGTTTGAGAAGTTCTCTTATCAGCCTGCATAGCATTTTTTAAACTCTTCATCCATGTCCCACAGTAAGAAACACATTTTATACCATTACCCAGTGAATGCATAGCTGAATATGTATGAATTTGAAATAATTTCTATTGTTACTGACTGCAGCAAATGATATTATTTTCTATTCTACTTCTTCATTTTTATTTGTTTGCTTTGGTTACTAAAATATGTTGCATCTTATAAACAAAAGAAATGTATTTCCTATAGTACTGTCAGAATCCCAGATTTTGGCACCAAAGATGTCAGGGTGGGAGTCTGCCCTTAGTTCTTGGTGTGCTCTTGGGCGAAGAATGACCAGACACACCAAAGTGTCAAGTTGAGACTATTATCCCAGTCCTCTGACTCCTTTCTTACAAAAATCACCAGCAAGGCCAGTATGACTGAGTAACCTCTCAGGCAGGGAGCAATTTCACAAGAGCAGCTCTTTATTGTAGAATAAAACAGATCCACTTCTCAGCAAGTGGAGAAAGACCAACTCACTCACTGATTGGCCCACTTACTTAGTCCTGACTTCTCGGGTTTTCTTTTATTAGTCCAGTCTGAAGGAGGGCTCTTGGGCTCCTGGGAGATGTAGGATGTTAGCAAAGGATCAACAGGTGTTCTCAAAATTCCATGTGCATATACAAGCTTTCTCTAAGAAAGCCCATCTGGGGGCTAGTTGGGGGTGAACTGTAAAGCAGATTCAAGCTAATGGCATATTAATTACCCTTAGGTTACTCTAGGTCACTTTCTAAATGTTATTATACCTGAATTGGGGAATTCCTAGATTGATGAAGCATTCCCTCCTTCCCCAGGTGTAGCAGTTACTTGGGATAGGATTAAGGGTGGAGCAACACCAAAATGGAGTGCCCACCCTTAGCCTTCCTCCCAGGTGTAGTGATCATTCAAAACAGCACCCAAACAGGAAACCCTTGTGCCAAGAAGAGCTGGAGATCCTAACTACCATATTTACCCCCAAATAAGACAGGGTCTTATATTTATTTTTCCTCAAGAAGACAGCCTAGGGCTTATTTTCAGAGGTGTGTTATTTTTTTTTTAATGTGGTACAACAATCTACATTTATTCAAATATAGCTAAGCCGTCTTCTCCTGGAACATTATCATAACTCTCCAAATCCCGAATTCCATCCTGAATTTCTTGCAACTCTATTTCCTTTAGAACCATGGCCCCCAATCTCTCATGTCAAGCAATAGAGCTCTCATGGGGCAGATGAGAAGAGCTGCTCATCTTCTTTACCGCTCGGTGACTAGTGACCAAATGCCTGGGTTGTGCAGATATGCAGCATAGCCACGCCCATCACTAGGTCTTATTTTCAGGGTAGGGCTTATATTGCGCAAATGCTTAGAAATCCTGCTAGGGCTTATTTTATGGGTAGGTCTTATTTTCAGGGAAACACGGTATCTACCTAACAGTACTAGTGGTTGGGAAGTCTAAGATTAAGATGTCAGCAGATTCTGTGTCTGGTAAGGACCTGCTTTCTGATCTATAGATAGATGGCACCTTCTTGCCATGTCCTCATATGGTGAAAGGAGCAAGGTAGCTCTCTGGGACTCCTTTTAGAAGAACACTAATCAATCCCATTCATAAAGGCTCTACCCTTATGACCTAATCACCTTCAAATGATGCCACCTGCCTATAGCAACACTTTGGTGATTGGGGAGAACACTGTATATATTACTATATATATTACGGGGGAACACTATACAAATATGTAAAAATTTGGGGGGAACACATACAAACCACAATACCATCCCATGTAAAATCCAAACCTCTATAATGCATACTTCTTATTCCTCTTTAATACCTGTTTTTCTTTAGCAGTTATCACTATCTCATTATATCTTATTTACTGTCTGTCTCTTCACTGTAATATAAATGTTAGGAGACTAGGTGCGAATGACAAAAGTAGTTTTTGGAGAAAAACATACAAGCAGAGGAATCGCAAAGGAAACATTGTTCCAAATCTCTTATTACCCCAGAAGAAGTGTGGCTCGGCCAGGTAGGACTGGACTAAGTGGCCTAAAGCAGATATGCTGCAGAGAGGACACAGCCCTCATCATGCTCTACACAGTCATAGGGACAAGGAGAGAAAACAATTTTGTATATAACAATGGAAACTTCTGATCAAGAAAGCAGTCTTCTAGCTTGCTCTCAAAACCTGTGAGGAGCAATTGAAGATTTTAAGAAGAGAAAAAACATGATCACACTTGCCTTTCACAAAGCATGCTTTATTATAGTGTGAAGTTGGTCAGAATAGCTAATACTAGCAGTTCCTCTTGTTACTCTCTCTACCTTCTGAGAAATTGGCTGACGCTGTCTTTAGGTTAAGGAATCTGACTGGTCAAGACCTCAACAAATCTTAGGTAGTTCAGGAAGACACTTGTAAGGAGCATGGGCTTGAGTGGCACCCCGTGCAGCCATTATGTGCAAGGCAGAGAGAGTCCAGATAGCAACATGAGTTTTTCTACTTGTTTTCAATTTTTGAAAGTATAGTGGTTAAAGAAAAACTTTTTACTTTGTAATTCTAAAGAACCGAATTAAAAATGTTTGCTAGCTGGTATGATTTGCTTTTTACAAAATTGTAATAAAACATGATTCCTTTTTACAAGGAATTTAAAGTAAGAAAATATAATAAAACATTTTCCTTTTCTTATGTAAATTGGGAATTTTATTAAAATCTTGGCTGTTTCGAACTTTCTTATTTCTAGAACAGCACTATTCAACAGAGACAGAATGTGAGACACAAATACATAAGAAACAAGATTATCTTGCACTACGCTAAGAAATAATAAAAAGAAACAGGCGATATTAATTTAATAATATATTTTATGTACCCTTATATATTTAAAATAGTAGCATTTCATCATATAATCAATATAAATCATTACTAAATGAAATATTTTGTTTTTTCCCCTATAATAAATCTTCAAAATCTATTATATATTTTGCACTTTATTCAAGTACTCAATACCCTCATGTGCCTAGTAGTTACTATATTGGGCAGCACAGATCTAGGCAGTTTTGGATGAAATCACTGATAAAACAAGGGCAGGGAAGGAATGTTTACTGAGTACTGTACCTACTTGCAATCAAACTGTAATAATAATTGTAGTAATTTTACATTGATTTAAAATTTAATCATCACAAAAACATGAACAAATTGCCACTGGAAGGTTTAAGAAAACTTGTCAAAAGTCATCAAGCTAATAAGTTTTTACAGCCCCAAGCTATCCTTTTTGTATTCTTCTTTTATACCTCAAATCAGGTGTCTTTACTAAATTTTTCATTATTAATAAATGCTTAAACTATAATCAATATTACCAAATGCCTAAATTATTAACTAGAAAATTATTAAGAAGGGAAAGAAGTAAATGTGCTCATTTTCTTTATTGTTTTGAAGGAGATGTACATATTACCATTGTATCACTAAAAATCTAATTTTAAATCCACTGATTTATAAATTTCACATAGATCATAAATGTGGAATCTCTAAAATGGTATCTGAAGCTGGTGCTTGTCAGTTTCTGTCATTTATCAAATCAGTATTTTTACACACTGTGAATGTCTTGGTCTTGGTTGTGAAGGGCATGTGGATATGACAGTGTCAAGGTCTGATGTGACTGAAGAAAATATGTTTGTTCTGATTTGTTGTGCATGAAAAATATTAATCCCACAACATGTAGGCCTATGTTTACAAGCCATTGCAAATTCATGTTCTGCATATTTTGGTCACAGCTAATTCTGACATGGTGGAATGTGAAATTAGCCATATAGTATAAGGAAGATAAAAAAAGAAATTATTGCACTTATTTTGTTGTCTGAATTTGATAGCTATTACTAATTATAGAACTGTTATATTTTGATAAGCTACTACTGAGAACAAAGTTGTTTTTAAGAGTTGATGAAATGTTTTATGCTCTGATTGAAAGATAAGAAAAGATTGCTTTACAAAACTAGGAGAAAGTGTAAAATTCCAGATACTATTATTGTAAAAAAATAGATTATAAAAAATAAGCTATTTTTGAAGGAGAGATTAATTTGATTCTACAGTAAAATAGTGATACAATACAGGTGAAGATAACTTCATGAAAAAAAATCTATCAAATAAACAAAACGTTTAAAAGTTTTATCTATCACTATATGATTTCAGCAAAACTGAAATGCTGCATATCAAATTAGATAAATTAAATGAAAACCAAAAAAGAAGACTGTTACTTTTGATAACTTAGTAAATCATTGATCAAAAATTAATATGTTTTCACTGACAGGCTGCAAGTTCACTTTTTTAAAAAAGATGATCAATTGTTTTTTTACTTTTTTTATTTTTAGTTTTTTAATTCAAATACTTATTTTTAATGTGTTAAGACAAAATAATCTATAAACAACATGGTTCCTTGATAAGAATCCAGGAGATTCAATCTGAAGACTTGGACTTGAGATGGTTTGTGGTTGTATGCCAGTGTTTGTCATGAAATAACAGGATTTGCCATACGTAAATGTTTGTTTTATATAAAATCTATGAATTTTCAAATCAAATCTTAAACCTAAATCAAGGAAATGATGAAAATATTAACTTTAGAATAACCATACTTTATAAGTTTAAATTTAAAATAGTTACTTAATAGAAAGTAATCAAATGAGAACAATGATAGTGTTTCTATAAATTTTTAAATTACCATTATACATATCATAGTAGCCACAACCTCAT